ATTGTAAGGAAAATCCATTCATCAATATATCATACGACCCTTGATTTTCAAGGCGCCGGAGCACCATCCTTGTTGTTCGTTCACTCACCCCATATATCACACGACCGTCGCTCCCTGAGCAGTGAGCCGGAGCACCGCCCAAAACCCACCACCAACACCATCACTCAACGGCCTTGTAGTTCAGGCCGTGAACCTAACAGCCGAGACCAGTTCCTCTCTCGGCTACAATCGTTTGATTAGGAAGACGAGTTCAAACAAGCGCACCACTTATCCATCCAACACTCATCAACACATCGACGCACGGTAGACCGTGCTGGCACGCCCGCGCATAACCGGACCGCACCCAAAAGCAAGAAACCGCGTGTCAACGCATATCCCCTCGGCCCGGAACTCCAGGCCGTGAGATTTGCGCGGCAGACATTTCACTGGTACGGTTCCAGTAAGCCTTTACTCATGTAGGTCCCTAAAAGCCATTCGATTGGCTGCAAATCATCTAGATGGACAAATAGAAGCTGAGATTCTTTCATTGAAATCCTTGTCCTTCCTCTCGCTTGGTTACAACCGATTCACCAACCTCACAAGGGCAATGAAGATATTGATGAGTTGCAAAAGTCTTCACACACTCATGCTTAGTGGTGCCTTTGATGGTGAGGTAATGCCATCTGATGATGACATGGTTGATTTTGACGGATTCCAAAATCTTCCGGTATTGAATTTGGCTGATTCTGACCTCGATGGTCAAATACCTGCATGGTTATCAAAGCTCAAGAATCTAGAGATATTGCTTCTAAATGGTAATCAAATCACAGCGCCAATTCCAAGTTGGTTGGGGACTCTTCCTAGGTTGTTTCATATAAACTTGTCACACAATCGAATTTCAGGTGAATTTCCAAAGCAACTTTGTAGATTACCAAGGTTGCTTTATGAACCTAATATTGCATCTCAAGCAAACCAATATGAATTTGAATTGCCTGTGTACGGCTGGAGCAGCATTTTTACCGAAACTCAACTTTTTCTACCTCAGAAATTGTATTTTTTTCCAACAGCGATAGTCTTATCTAAGAATAACATTGATGGTGAGATACCTACCGAGATCGGCCAATTGCAGCTTCTCCAGGAGTTGCATCTTGACTCCAACAACTTCTCCGGCGTCATTCCATACCAAATATCTAACCTAAAAAATTTAGAGATTTTGAACCTCACCATGAATCTCTTCTGTGGAATAATCCCATCGTCATTGGCAAGCCTTAATTTCTTGAAAGCATTTAATGTCTCTTACAATAACCGCAAAGGACCAATACCAACAGGCTCCCAGCTCCAAAGCTTCGACACTTCTACCTTTGAGGGGAATCCAAAACTTTGTGGTGCCCCACTTCCAAATAAGTGCAGACCAAGTAAGGACATAGGTGCAAATAACAAGAACAGCAAAGACGAGGGCAATGGGCATCATCAACTTCCATGGTTTTACATTTTCACTGCTTTGGGGTTCATAGTAGGTTTTTGGGGAGTCTGTGGTTCTTTAGTTATTAACAAGACATGGAGATATGCATATTTTCGATTCATAGACAATCTATAAGATCGGCTCTATGTGATGATAACAGTCCCCTTCAACAGGATGAAAAGAAGGCTTAGAGGCTAGATATATATTATTAATATTGTACTTTTTATTTTGCATTTTCAGTTTTCTCTACCCCCTTTTTTTTTTTCTTCTTCTTCATTTCAAAGTAAGTGTACTCAAATTTAAAGGATATATGTTGTTCGGTTCATAAAGTTATGGGGGAAAAGAAACCCTAAACTCATGCAGACAAGTGAAAATACAAAAAAATCTACAACATCGTTATGAACTCCTCAGTATGCAGTTTCTGATAGATTTGAAGAAAAGATAAGATAATATATTATGCTGTTGTCCAATTTATTTCAGAGAAAATAAACTACGAATCTCACAACAACTCATCATTTTCTTTCTTCCATGTTTAACTTACAAAACCTTGGGGCTCTATTGTGGAGTTTGCATCCATCACACAACCCTTGCAGAACAATAAAATTGTTTACAAACTAAAACAGAAGAACCAAATCCGTGAGGTTTTTTACTACTATTAAAAAAATCATGATGCATCCTATACAGCTTATAACAACTCTGCAATAAACAAGCTGTAAGACATTTGCAATTTTTATTTTTTGGGTAAACTGGAGGGGATAAACCCCGAACACAACAGCAACTAAAAGGAAGACATTTGCAATTTAACTCGACTGTCTAAAGTCAATATCACAACCAGCACGGATATTGGCAAGGCAAATCAGATATTTCCTGTGCTTGAAAGCGGATGATATAATTTCTGGTCATGACAAATTCACCTAACAAATTTTTCACATAAAAACGCTGCACTGTTGCCAGATGGACCTCTTCCATATAACATTAGAATGAAGCCGTGAAAACAAATGACCGGACTCTTGCGACTAGTTGGAAAAATGCATTCAAGAGTCCGATATTTTCTCTTCCTACAAACCATCAACAAATGAACATTATGGTACATAAAAAACAAGCAAATTGTCCCTCTTTAAAGAAGAAAAAAAGTTGCCTTCCATACACCTCAACTGCTGCTAGGGATGTGGAAATTTAAGCATTCTCTCCCCTGGTTTCTTGTTGGCTGCATGAACAGAGGATGAGGCTTCCATAGTTAATTCCATTCTTTTGTTTTTGGCAGCTCTGATCTGGTCTGCGAATGAAAATTCTTTCTGCATTTTTTCTCTCTTTATAAGCTCTAGATCCAGTTTCTCAAAAGCTGAGATATGCGACATGACTATGTCCCCTCGAGCAGCAGCTTGTCCATTTGTTGAAGTTTTTCTTTCAAACTATTAAGAAGAAAGAGAATTCAATAACACACTCAAACAAACAACATTGGAAAAGGTGATGCCATTTAAAAGCAACGGATTAGAAAACATGAAGGAAAATAATTAATATGCTGATCTAGCAAGGTTCCCTAAATGTTTAAAGCCAAGAGATCAAGCACAGAGGGTGAGATAGTGCGAATTTCAAATTGGCTTCAAGAAGAAGAAATTTTGCAAGCTGGTTTATGAATCAGGAAAATAATTTTGCAATATACAAGATCTTAACCTTAGCCCTGCCTCAAATATGAAAAGCAATAATTACCCATTTTTTCTATCCACCGTCAGTTTCTTTACACATATCTAAGCATTATGGTTCAATGTTAAACAGATTTCATCTGTAATTTGAATACTCCTCCCCCTCCAGAACTCACTTCTCTTTCACCTACTCATGAACTTCACATTGTATGCTTAGAGATACTATTTATTTATGCTAAGTTTGTGAGTGATATGTCATGTATTTCTAATTTATATATGGTGAACTACATAATTGCTTCTAGCTATAATTTAGTATTGTCTTGGCTACTGAGCAATTACCTTCATTAATCTCTGCTTACAATTCCGCCCTTGAAGAACTGTCAACTCTTCAGTATCTTCATAGACTTCTCCATCTTTTCTCCTCTCACGAGCAATCCTTGCCATATTTTTTTCTTTAACTTGTTCTGCTGTCATTGCTCTTTTCTTTGCCCTCTCCTTCGCCCTTTCCTCTTTCTTTTCAGCAGCCAGCTGAAGTCTTGGAGATGTCATTTTTGCTTTATCTTCTCATAGCTATCCCAACAGAGCTCTTGCTGTCCGCTACCACCTTTCTTAGCCGCCTCTGCTACGCTTTCAACCCATGACAGAAATAATTTCTCCCTTAACCGTTTCCATTTTAAACGCTGCCCCAAAACACGTCTAATTGAAGAACGCATTTTTGCCTTGGACTCAGAGCTACATAACAATCCATTTTTTTGTCAAATTTTTTGCCTTGGACTCAGTCACTCAGAGCAAGAAATAACTTCAAACAAAGAAAAAAACAAACTAAAATAGAAAATGTATCTTTCATCAAAGATGCGCTGCAACCTACAACTTTTGGCTTCTACTGGTCATGTTCATGAAACCAAAAAAATCATGTTTACTTGTTCAGCAGGCCTAAAAAACCTTAAACTAAGTTATCTCTCTCCCACCCTCCCAAAAAAGGCAAGGATGATAAGCTTACAAGTAGATATCCAAAGTTCATAATACAATCTGAGGCCCATTTAAGGGGTTTCACAAGTTTATTTCTTCCCCTCTTCCTTTGATGAATGATTGATAACTTGCCAAACTATTCGTGCAGGAGAATTCGAGAAAGAAATAAACATATAGTTTAAGGCGTTTGCTTTCCTTTACATTATGTAAACCGCGTATCCTTCTCGTATGTATGATTTGGACTAGGGTAGAGGCCAGGGCTCGTAGTTAATCCCGTAGATGAGTAATCTCTTAGGGAAGACCTACACACTTAGAACAATATCAGAACAAGAGCAAACTGGGGTTGATCCCAGTTGAACCCTCTCCGATGGTTAAGTCAGGAACTATTTTGAGCTGGAGAGAATGGATGTAGGGTTAGGTGAAGGGTATTTATAGAGGGGAGAGGGAGAGACCAAGATATCTTAAGGAAGAGATATTTACCTCTCCTCTTCCAAGTGGGACTGGAGTACAATAAATGACCTGTTCTTGGTCACCATGCTATCTGGCAGAGAGTGTGTGGTAGAGCGACATGTGGCCTGGGATGGGAAGTATATTAAATGATCCCTTTTCATCACCAGGCTGTCTATCAGGCAAATGGAGTGACTGACCTGACAGGGGTCTGGTCACGCTTGTTGAGCATTAATGCACCTCTGGTCGCACTCGGTACCACAATGGTCGGCTTGGTGTCTGGCGCCCGAGCACTGGTCCATCTCTTGCTCAGTTAGGTTTTGATCGAGAGGCCTTTGATACACGAGACATCACTTTCGCTCAGGTCGGTATACGTTCAACGTAGCTATCTACAGCCACATGGTGATCTGTGATGGGCTTGGCTCACGATGATGGTATGAGGCATTAACACATTACATCACCGTACTTCTTATGATTACGCAAACATTATTCAAAATGACAATCCAATGGCCCATACGGGCCTAATAACCTTAACAAGAAGCGACCGTTAGAACTTGTTCAATCTTAAAGGTGCCTCCAGACAAGTTTACAGCATTAAGTTCCCGACTTCCGTACATGTAATCATTTTGAGAGTAATCAAATACGCATCAATCACAACATTTGCCTTTCTTTCCATCTCTGTGCATATAACCAACTTGACATTGGTTTGTAAACTACAATTTACTTTCCCCTTAGTCAAAGCATAAACCTGCTCTTGGTATTTGAAAGTTTAACAACAACCCAGCTAATTAATTTAGGCTAAAAGTCACTTTTGGTCCTCTAGTTTGGCACTTCAACCACGTTTGACCCTGTAGTTTCAATTCCGTCAATTTTGACCCGTAGTTTTGTATTTGTAGCAATTCAAGGACAAGTTAGTATTCCTGTAAATTTCTTTGACGGTGCAAGTGGCAATTTCGTCAACCCAAAATCCTTGAGCCTTTCTGCAACGCCCATAATTTCATATTAGGGCTTGAAATTGGTCATTTGGGTTTAGGGTTCTTCAAAAATTGGGATTAGTGGTTGAATGTGGAGCCCTAATATGAAATGGGGAGAATTTCAGACAAGCTTTTACTCTCAGGGATTTTGGGATGATGAAATTGTCCCTTGCATCGTTAAAGAAATTGACAAGAATACTAACATGTCCTTGAATTGCTACAAATACGAAACTACAATGGCAAAATTGACGAAATTGAAACAACATGGTCAAAAGTGGTTGAAGTGCCAATTTACAGTGACGAAAAGTGACTTTTGAGGAATTTTTATGAAAATATTCTAATAACTGTTGAATTATTCTATTATGTTTATTATGTTCAAATTTTACACTTTCTTCTTGACTAATTAAAAGGTCAACAATACTATTTTCTAAGGGACTGTTATTGCTATGTAATGGATGTTTGTGTTCTTTTTGTGGAAAATAACAAACTAATGTATTATTATCTAAAGTTAATTTTCTCTTTTGTTGTTCACTGATTTCTAGATTAAGATACTCTATCATATAATTTATCTAAGTCTATCTTTTTCTTTTATTCTAATAGGTGTCCACCAAGGACTAAACATGCAATGAGTTCACTGTTCTTAACTGGTGATTCTGGTAATTAACAAAATTTTAACATGTTATAAAATGTTGGTTTTTGTCAGTTGTGTTGATTGACTTCTGCCCTCAAGGTACTTTATTGTTATAAGTATATTATTAAGGTACTAAACTTAAGTTCTGATACCATATTTTTTTGTGAGGTCTCGATCAAGGTTTCTAAAGGCCAAAATAACAACCAAACACCATGCCTAGAACATGGAATTGCAAAGACACCAACTTAAAGGGCTATGGAGTAGAAGTCAGAGGTTCCTGACATACATCCAGTTATTGTTATGGAAAACATCAAACATGACCAAGTGCTCAAACAAAGTATTGATCATCAATTTAGCAAGATAATAACATAATTATAAAAAAAGTGTTTCCCTGTTTCGGACAAGAAGTCTACTAATAAAACCAAAAATAAAAGAGAAAAAAGACTTAATTGTTTTTGTTGCTGGAAATGTTATGATCGGGTATTAACGATGGTCGGCGGTATTAACAATGGTCGGAGTAAGAGAGTATAATAAGAGAAAGTATATGAACAAATGGAGTTTATTGATTGAAAACTGAAGGAGAAAGTACTGAGATTTTTTCTTCTCTAGTATTGTACTTCTCTCTTTGGAGTTACAAAACTATATACACCTATTCACCGACTCTGCTAAGGATGAGAAGAGGAGCCTGTCTATCTGATACCATCTCTCTATCTATCTAAACTTTCATACACACTTCACATGCCAACTGATGGCGAACAAACGATTCTCATCCATTTTAAGACAAAATGCACTCAAAAATATGTACAAAGAAACAAAAACATTATTTCTCGCACTGTTGGACAGAGGCAAAGTGACAAAGTTTTCACATGGTCTGGTCGCTTGAAGACAAAATCTTCACATGTAGGCCTGGTCTCTTCACATGCTGATGGTGGTTTTCGGTGGAGGAAAGAGCTATAGGACTTGAATGTTTTTTATGCTAAAGATTGTTTGTACCATATCTGACCCTCCACTCATACAACGACACGTGGATCAGAGAAGCTCACCCAAGTACCCAAGGCCTCGAACAATCGGCATCGGCTACCGATGACATTGTCTCAAAGCTGCAAACAACCGATACAGGCCCAGCTCGTCTACAATCGGCACCCCATACCGATTGTACATAATCAGCCTTGAAGCACCCGCCCAAAATATCTAAGGACTCGTGTCAACCTCACAGGGCCCTCCCACGAGTCCCACATCGGAAATGAACACCACAAGCATCCCAAATGCCCTCTATAAATACACCCCTTCACCATCAACAAAGGGGTAAGACTTTTCAGCTTGACTTTTATACTACTATATAGTCAACAGCAAGAGCTCTTAAAAACAATCTTACTCGAGCATCGGAGGGTCTTAGGCTGGTTCCACACCGGTTCCATAGACTTTACGAGCTTCGCTTATCTTCTATTCAGGATCAGCATCCAAGGACAGGAAGAATCGGCATCCAACATCCAATCGATCTCTCGATCGTCCATCCCACTTGTAAGTTGCACTCATCTCTATCTATTCAAGATTTAGC